GTGCAGAGCGCATGCTTGGCGTGCACAAGGCCCTAGATTTAATCCTTAGCAAATCACCATCACAATAAAGAGAACACACACGGGCATTATTTGCCTTTTTTGCGGCAAGGACATTCACACTGATGGTGTAAAATTAATGGTGGGTGAAACTGCTGGGGCCTTAGCATGAGCCACGCAGTGGCATCAGTTTATCAGTATGTTTTTCTCTACATTTGAGAGGGTTTTTTTTTTTTAATTATATATATATTCTGTACAAACAGGTTTTATTTTATTTATTTTTTAGTGGTTCTAGAGCTCAAACCCAGGGCCTTGTGCCACATTTTCAGCCCCTCACAGAGTTCTAAAAGTTGTTTTATGGGCCAAGCATGTCGCTCAGCAGCACAGCACCTGCCTGGCAAGCACAAGGTCCTGAGTTTGATTTCTGGGTTTTTTTTTTGTTTTTTTTTTTTTTTTTCAGAACCGGGGATTGAACTTAGGCCCTTGGGCTTGCCAAGCAAGCGCTTATTCTACTGAGCTATCTCCCCAGCCCCAAGAGTTTGATTTCTGGTATCAAAAAAAAAAAAAAGTTCAGTTTTGTTTGTCCCTGATGAAACAGCAAAAACAGCAACTACTAAATTTCTTCCCCTAAGTGTGCCTCCTTTTAATACTCCATGTGGTGAGCTCAGACGAATGCAATGAGCACTTGTTTGTACACCTAAGTACGTGTGAGCTGTCTGAATTGTAAGTGAGCTCAACTAGTCTTGGTCCATGGAGAACCACTTTTACTTAAAAGATTATCTGACAAGGGGCTGGGGAGATAGCTCAGCAGCATAAGTGCATGCCTGGCAAGCACAAGGTCTTGAGTTTGATCCCCAGTACCAAAAAAAAGAATGTCTGACAGACAAATTATGGTGATTCAGGCTTGGCTGCGTGGCAGACATTTCCTCAAAAAAGAACTTCAAGGAAAACAACTGTTAGTATTTTCTACTAACAATAAAATTCAAACTTTCAGGTGAAAAACAGAATTGTGGTAAATGTTTATATGCCAATAGTTTCCCAGGGCTTTAAAGATTCATTACTACATAATGAAATGTGTCAACATTTGGAAAATTTGTATAATTCAACAAGCCACTATTTTCTAAAAGGACACTGTTTCAAAACTGTGCACAGGCTAAAGATGCAGGGAAAACCTAAGAAAGATTAAAACATTTTAAGGCTAACAGATAGAAAATGTTTGCTGATATAGCTTCAGACTCCATATTACAACTAATCTTTAAGGAACTGTTAGTTGGGCCGGGGATATAGTTCAGTGGCACAATGCCTGCCAGGCAAGTGCAAGGTCCTGACTTCAATTCCCAGTACCAAAGAAACTATGACGTGGGGGCCAGGGAGATAGCTCAGTAGAATAAGCGCTTGCTTGGCGAGTGCAAGGACCCAAGTTCAATACCTGGTTCCACCAAAAAAAAAAAAGAAAGAAAGAAAGAAAGAAACTATGACTTAAGTTTTTGAGAAGTATGAATTAGCGGCAATTATCTGTAAAGACTATTAACTTATGCCTCACTTTTCTGACCGCATATCTGTAAAGCCTTTGTGTGTAAGACATGGGGATTGAACTCACAGCCTTACAGGTGCTAGGCAAGTGCCCTGCTACTAAGCTATCTTTTCCTTAGTCAAAACTACACATTGCAATAGACTAAATGCAGACATATAAAAACTCAGCTTTCTTTTTTAAACAGTTACAAAAATATAAAACCCTACCTATTTATTGCATTCTTTTGGTTTGAATGATACAGTGATGTTTATGGGAAATAAATTATTTATAAAAAACAAGATTTTATTTTATTACTATTATTTTTAAAGGAATTAAGAGGTGTTGGGCAGGGTGGTGCACACCTGGATTCTTAGCACTCAGGAGGCTGAAACAGGAGGATCAATGCAAGTTCAAGGCCAGCCTGGGCTACGTAAGGAGCTCAAGGCTAACATGAATTACAGAGCAAGACCCTATCTCAGAAAAAAAAAAAAGAGGCTGAGGAGATGGCTCAGTAGAATAAGCGCTTCCTTGGCAAGTGCAAGGGCCTGAGTTTAATCCTTGGTTCCAAAAAAAAAAAAAAAAAAGATTAAGAGATTAAATTTCCAGCTTTAATATCTAATATGGCAAATACTGACAGATATAATCCATAAAAACAAAAACTCTCTTGATTCTCACAATTTTTAAAAAATTTAAAGAGATTATTAGACAAAAAGTGTGAGAACTACCCTCTTAGATCACTATTTCTGTCCACAAAGTTGAAAAGTTATCCACCACATTCACAGTGAGTAAATCTATACCACCATGTTATACGTGGTGAAGGGACCACACAGCTATCAAATGCAGCCTGGTGCAAATGGAAATGTTCAGGGCTGGGGAGATAGCTCAGCGGCATAAGCACCTACCTGGCAAGTGCAAGGTCCTGAGTTCAATCCCCTGGTACCAAACAAAACATAAACCCCCAATGATACTCTAAATAAAAATTTAAACAGGTATTGTGTTTCTGTATTACCAGACCCACCCTTAAGGCAGCCTGAGCCAGAAAAAAAAAGAAAAGAAAAGAAAATCATTCACTGTGCAATGTACTGTCCCACCATCCAAGGCTGGGGAGGAACGTGCCCTTCAGGAGGTGCCATTACTATGCCCATTGGCACATGCTAGGTGCCGATGGAGAAAATCTGGCACAGGACACAAAAAAATAGCTTCAGTACCATTCTACACTGCTTTTCTTCTCAAAATTTAGTTCCAAATGAATTGTAAGAGATAACTGAGATTATCAACTCAAATTGACAGAAAGCTTCTAAGAGATCGTACAGGAAAGTGAGTCAGTTTGGTGACCTGCTCTTCTCTAGGATTTATGGTGCAGCGCGAGCCCTGTACCGCCCTTCCCTAAATAAAACACCACACAAAAGCAAATTTCTGTGTTGTTTTTTTTTTAATAAAGGGTAATAAATAAGAGAAAGACACAAGAAAAAAAAAAGGCACAGGACTGTCTTGCTACAGTGCGTATATGGTTAGATTTCTAAATTTCTGTGTAAAAATATGTGTTTATTCCTATTTTTTAAAATTCTTGTACAGCAATTAACCACTAAGAAGAATATATGCAGTGTATTATTTGTTGAAACTGTACTTTCGATTTGATTTGAAACTGTCTCATTGCTATATGT